CAACCCCCCCCCACACCGCGCGCGCGCCCGCCCCTTCGCCCGCCCGATCGCGCAAAACGCCCCAACAGATACACTAATTGTACCGACCTGTCCCGCGGACCGGAGTATACGCGCGCTTCGAAACTTCGCGGAGCTCCGGCTCACCACTCTTCGAAGAGAAGGCGACTTGCCGGAAGAGGAGGCGGAGGAGGAAGAGACGTCCCCGCTCCCCCCCTCCGCCCTACCGCCGCCCCGCTTGCCCCAGAAGTGGTCCCAAGTTCCCGGCGGGAGGTCTGGGACGGGGATGTCCCCGATGCCCACGTCCGCCGGGGAGGCGGCCTTCACGGCTCCCGTGAGCTTTCCCCCGTGCTGTAGATATTTATCGGTTACACCGCGAACCCGGTTTTGGGTGGTCGTCCGTTTTATGGGTGTTGATGGTGTTGTTGACGTTTCGTGACCGAATAGCCAACGCGAAACCGTAGACCCGGTCGTGCACATGGGGCGAGCGTAGGCAATCGCACACGCGCGAGCCCGCCCGAGGGCAAGGAGGTTGCAACACACGCGAGCAGCACCGTCAGTAAAGAAAAAAAATAATTGCCCGCGTTTTCAAGCATCAATAACCAAACGCACTGAGTAGTTTGTCGTGTGCGTTGCGCGCCCGACACGCCCCCCCCACCCCCACCTTCGTAGCAAAGGCTGCGGGGACACACGGCGGCCGGCCACGAGCATGACTCTCGGCAGCAATGCCTTAGATTCGTGGACGCTAACCAGACCCAATAGGCGTGCAAAACAGACAAGAACGGCTGAAGAGAAGATGCGAGGAATAGCCAGACCGGGGGAGGACTTGGTCCCCAGCGAAACACCGGAAGAAAAAATGGGCAAAAAAAAGTCATTTGATGGCACTACTGCAGCGTAGCCCCCCGCCTTCATCGTAGTCCCGACAAAAATAGTACTGGTATTAGTGTCAAACCAACAAGCCGGGTCGTAAGGAAACATGCCATGGCTTTTGCTAGAAAAACTGCCCCACGAGCACCCTCGATAAAAAACAAGGTCAAAGCGCGCGTCCCTGCCGAATCGTACGTCTGGACCAGCGCTGCTGCTGCTGCTGCTGCTGCCTGTGAAAGACTCCCACCCTTCTTGGCAACCGCGTGCCGCCGCCGCTGCAAAGCAGAGCATGTGATGACGCTTTTTTGTTCTCGTGTTCGGATGTGTGTGTGCTAACCTGGACGTTCAGCTGCCCATAGCGGAGCACCCCGTCGCAGTGCCCCGAGCTCCTCATGGTGAGCATGTCGCCCACAACAAGGATTCCCTCCAGCCTTCCCGCCACCGTCGCCGAGTCCACCATGGCCTTGCCCAGAAACAGGGCGCCCTTAGAGATCTGGTTGGGACGGGCGCCGCGAAAAATAAAACACAAGCAGCCGAGAGCACGTGGCAAAAAAGGGGGCCGGAGTTCAAGGAATGTAAGGGCGGGAACTCACAGGCCCAAAAACAAGAGAGCAGCGTCATTAAACGAGGTGCTGCTAGCGGTCTAAGACCACCGTAATTGTGCGGAGTGATACGCACATCATCTGCGAGGACCTTCCCTGCTGGACACGAAAGCCGACAGATGTGCAGTACATGAGCAAGGAAAGCTACAGCTGTCGCCAATCGAGATCTGTTTCCAACACCACCCCCGCTACCCTCTTCGGCATGGGCAGCCTCTTGAGCAACCGACCTCTGAAAGCCGGTCTAGACTGCGCGCGACGAACCGCACGGATGCGGTACGTTTATGGTAGGATGCTTGAGTGACGTGTCGATGCAAGTAGGCGTTTTCGCGGAGCTAAGCAGGAAATGCCACCTCAGTGGGGTGATTGATTCTTCTCACAGACGGACTCCCACAACGTCCGCAAAATTCCAAACCAAAACGGGACAGGTTTTGTCCACCCGACTGAAGACGGGGGGCAAACACCCTCAACAGGAGGTATCCACAACAAAAGTTCGACCGTGGTAATATATCTCTAACGGGCAGTCTTTCTGTGCTTGTATGCATATATCTTGTATAAAAAGTTGAAACAGTGCAGCAGCAGCGGTATTGCTTGGTAGGCCAGGCTCACCTCTAGAGTCTTTGCCTCGACGTTGCCGTGCAGCCTTCCAGTAACGATCACGTTCTCCGTTTTTAGCACGGCATGCCTCATGACTCCTCGCACAACCACCTGTAAACAAAGCGGCACAAAGAAACAAAGAAAAAAAACAATGTCGGTGTCGTGAAAAGCGGGGAGGTCGTTCGCGTAGAAAAATGACCGAAAAACATGTATCGCGAAGACGGTGGGCTGATTGGGATGCCAAACTCGAAACACAGCCGTAAGTAGCGGGGCGTTTGATGTAGCACCTGCTCTTGAGAAAAAACGGAGACGTAAACAAAGAATACGACCGACAGGAAGCAAGCCAGCAGGTAGGCAGAGATTCTGCCCTCTGGGAAACCCAAGGACAGTAACGGACTTCTTAACCCTAACTTAACTTTGTCGATTCTATACTTTACTCTAGTATGATTACTCAGCAAAACCTGCGTAGACTGTACTGACGGTGATTATGTATGCCGCCTTTCTATCCCTCTCCGGGGGACCGCCTTCGCGCGATCAGTAAGTCCACTTGGAAATAGAATGGGGAGGAGGGACGCAGACGCTATTCCCCAACCCTTACCCAAGCCCACAACTTCCCCAATTGTATCCTTCATCCAACATGTTTCCTTTAATATCCTGCGAAAGTTACCGGGACCGGGGGACAAGGATCACAAGATGCTCACGGTGGTATCCTGCACCGATCGATGGGCGAAACAAAACCATGTGTCCAGTCTTGGTGAGTAACATACTTTACATCGAGACCACATCGAGGGTCAAGGGAGCGAGAAATCAATCATCATGTCCAAAAACGACAAGCACGCGTTGCTCGACAAGCACGCGTTTTCTTGCTAGTACAATGAATGCACACTTGCGAGGAGCACCACCCCCGCTGTCCAAATCCCTCGTCCGCCCCAAACTTACTTCTAGAACGCAGCGCCGCGTCAAACCAGGGCTGTGCCTCGTTCCAGAGCATGGCATCATGATTCCGCGGGAAAGTCGTTTGGTGGAGTTTGGAACACAACAGCAGATGTGCCTAACGGCTGCTGCCGCCCGCATCCCCCCCCCCCCCCCCCCCCCCCCCCCCCCCCCCCCCCCCCCCCCCCCCCCCCCCCCCCCCCCCCCCNGTGTTCAATACTTCGAGCCGAACGTCCAATGAACTATATACATACCTAAGGCTTCTACGTAAAAGGCATCTGTAGAGCCTGCTGCTGGTGGACCTGCTAGCGGCGGGTTTGGGTGTTGCAAGCACCGAGTGACATTTTTTAGACCGGTGCCAGAACACAACGCACAACCTTTGTGGTCCAATATAGCACGGCTGCTGTGCGCGTAGATGGTTTTGGTTCCTGTTTCGATCAGAGGTGTTGTCCACGTTGGCCCCAACATCACCACAGAAGTTCACGATGACAAGGGGGGAGGCGAGACCAACAGCGGAGCACAGCAGCAGCCCTTGATGCTTGTTGCGTTCTTTGCTTGTTTGTTTCGAGATTACCCTGAACCACGATTTGCCTAGCTGGGTTCTTGAGAGGGAAGATTCGCAGTTACGTAATGTTGTGGTGCCTTTGCCCGGTAGGCTTGCATTGGCAGCACTTTTACGTGCACGCAGAGGTAGTATAGTTCATTGCTCTTACCGTCGGAACATGTACATGTTGTACGGCCTTGTTTATCGTGCGTACACAGCAAGCAATGCAGCATGAAACAGGGGGAGACGCAACCGAGCGTGACGAACATCAACACAACAGCCAGCAAACAGCCCCCAGGGCAACCAGACGAGAATCTTGAGCAAGCAACGAGATAATCTTCAGAATATGAGAGCACTAGACTAGACTATTACTTTTGAAGTACAGAACAGGTAGCGGCCATCGCACATACATTCCTGTTCGCGGCTGACAGCAGCAGCACCAGTGGCACGCCTGAGATTTGAAATACTACTGCTGTACATACATGTGTAGAGCAACGTGCGCCAAAAACCAGCGGTGGTACTACCGCCAAAATATACAGTCATCACTACCGAAAACACACCCTTGCTGACATCCACATGCTGTTGGCGAGTCGAGTAACACAGCAGGAGCCGATAACATGCACCCAGCACGTCGGTCTTGGTTATTGTACGCGAGGCGAGCGCGCCTCATAGACTACACGCGGGGCGGAACAATTTTTGACAATCAAAATGTTCAGCAGCACACAGATTCACAGCAGCGGCGTGTGACGGAAAGACCCCAAAAAACAGGCTCCACAAGGAGGGAGTCCAATCAGGGGACACAACAGCAGCAAGAAGTTGTGCTATTCGTGTTGCCAAACATGAAAGCACCCGACAGCGAAAAGAAAATTCCCTCAAGAGAGCTACTGCGGCGGTAGAGTCTGTCGTGTTCTGCCTGCCCTCCCAAGACCAAATAGTCGAATATAGAAATCCAAATCCGGGTGCCTTGTTTTGTGAAACTTGTGATAACACCCACCGTTAGAGAGGGGTCGTCCATCGCTGAGAAATCCATCGTGACGCCCGTCCCAACCACCATCTGCCCGGAATCGTCGCCGCCCCCATGCCCCTTTAGCGGCGCGCTTCTACTCCGCCTCATGGCCCTTTTCTGCGGGCTACTGCGCAGCTGCAAAGTCGTTGGGGTTCCCTGCTGGTTGCCGGCTGATGAGAGCGAGGAAAGTCAGCCCGAACAACGAAAAGGAAATTGTCCCGGTCTTCTCCCTGAGTGGATAGGTCCTTCTCCTCCAGCCGCGTGCGAACAAGAGAGAGAGAGAGAGAGAGAGAGAGAGAGAGATAGATAGAGCCACTGCGGAAGACCAAACCAGCAGCGAGAAGAAAAGTTCGCTGCGCCGCCGCGTGTCTTCCTCTTGTCGCTGTGTGACCGGGACCACCGTCGTAGAAGTGCGTGGTAGAAGAGGAGAAGCTCGCTACGATCGCATAATTGTCACACTGCCGCTCTTCGACGGCAAGGACGAATGCCCCGTAAGTACAGCAGCAGTATGACTCCCAGAGTATCTCCGAAAGCACTCTCCCCTTGAGTTCACCCCACAACTAGAGGGAGGGTGCAGAAATTGATGCTCTCCGTGTCCAAGGCGCTTCTGGTGGGATCCTTGTTTGACCGAGTGGTGGAAACAGCGCTTGATTCGCTCCTGCTCTTCCCACTGCATGCACTGCCCGCCGCGTCTCTCTATTCTCTATTCCAAAATAGGGGGCCACACGGCTCCGCACGTCAGGGGGGTATGTGACAGCTACGACCCACGACGCAATATCATATCACCAAAAGAAGGCGGACGAACATTATATCTGCTCTCAAGCAGCTTCTCAGGCACGGAGGCGAGGTGGCGGGCGTTCTACCACACAGAATGGACGAAGTGCGGCAGTAGGTCAGCCCCACACCCGTCGCGGGAACCAGAATTCATCCATTTTCAAGACAATGGCGAAAAATGAAAAATATGGTCGGTGCATCTTCAACAACTCTCACCTCTCGCCTAAAAAAAAAAATTCGCCGAATCAATCGCTAGATGCGGCGCAAAGTCCAGGCTTGCCGTCATCTCTATGAGATCTGGCTCTCCGCTGCTCCTATCTCACAAACGCGTACACGCCACCCCCCGTAGTTGCGCTCGCAGAAAAGATAGGAGTGCGTACCTGGGGCTTCTGGAAAGGAATCGAAGTGCGATGAGGTTCCCCTTGTCAGGAGAGCTAGGAATAGCAAATCGAAAACGACCCGCCGCTGGTGCACGAGCTTGCGTTTATTACTTACGTGCAGTCAGCATGAACGCGCTGCTATTGCTGCTGCTGGTTGGATCAGTACAGCTGCATGGCTTCGTCATCAGCCCACCTCATCGTGCAGCTTCAGCAAGACGGTTGAGTGGAAGTAGCAGCACATGGCGGTGGCCCCATGGCTGTATGATGTCCGGAGGCGGTGGAGCTATCACTACGGCGGGCAGGCGCGAAACGACATGGTCCAATCCGACGGGCGACGACATTGTGCAAGTGCTGGGCGACGTTTGGTGCGCGGAGCGCCCGTTTGTGTGGAACGGCATCGACGTCGGTGGGTGCAGCGCCGCTATCAACCTCTTAATCATCATGCTCGTATCTTCGAAAGAATTTCTTCCTCGTGCAACCTAGTTGGCTGCTGTTGTTGTTGCGTGTTGAAGTTGCCACGACTGCTGGTGTGCCACCCTGGTGTTGACGCGTGTTTGCTACACGCAGCAGATGGCCAGCACGCCGACAAGAGCCATCGCGAAAGGGAGAACTTGCGGCGCAAACAAGCAGCCGATGTCGGCAGTAGCGATGGCGGTAACGCGAGCCGCTACGCATCCCTACACCCTTGTTGTCATTGCACAAATACATACGCTCTCTGGTGAACGCTGGACTTGACAGTCCTGCCGATTGGACCGGCCTCCTAAAAATGTCGACCCCCCGTAAACCTGATCGAAAATGGCTACATCCTTTTTTTTCCCACACATCTTCCGAACGCCTTTTCTTTCCAAGACAACACGAACCACACCCCTCTCCACCAACCCAGGACTCATCCCCGTCAACGCCAACTTGGCACCTACAAGCGAAACCACGGTCGGTCACAGTAGGAAGTAGAAGTTATCACAGCACGATCAACCTTCCCCAACGCACACATCATGCCATTCACTGGTATTGGTTTGAGGCTCGAGCGCAGGGTTTGATGCCCCAACCGTCGCCTAAAGCACAGCGTGTCGAATGTCTATTATTGATGACAGCGTTCGCCTATTTTGAAGGGTTGTGGTGTGTGGCCGGCTGCGTCGGGTTTGGACCCGCAAACCGTAGGTGGTACAGGTAAATAGTGAGGTCGAGCATCTCGATGGATCGATCGAACAATGAACCGCTCTGCCCACACACACACTCTACCTTCTCTACGCCCCCCCCGTGCTCTCCCTCTCTCCCAATTGAAATGTCGGAACAAAATCTAGCCTAGCCATCACTTTCCAGCAACAGCAATGCAGAGCAAACGCCTGGAGGTGGGGAAGAATCCGGGGGTTTCAAGGTTGATGTGTGTCTTGATGACAACGCACACGAATATTCATCTGGCAGAAGTGAAGGGTTTGTGTGTTATTTTTCACAAAATTTGGGCCCCAAGGCCGAGTAAAAGTGCTATCCTGCTACCTTACCCTGGGCACCTGTTTTTTGAAAAAGGCGCGAAATTTCCAGGTAGGGTCAACAGCACGCCGTCCGTCTCGAAAATGGATGTCATGTTCTGTACGCCTGGTTTGAGGTTAAGGGGCTATGTCAAACAAACGAACCCCTCGCCCGTACCCTTGTCGTATTCTGTATCTCTCATCCCCCGTTGTCTGGTGTTGGGCAGGGGGTCGCATGGCGGTGGTGAAGCTCTCCGACGGCTCTCTCTGGGTGCACTCCCCTGTGGACCTCGACGAGCCGCTAAAGGAGGCCCTTGCCAGCCTTGGGCCAGTGGGACACATCGTGTCACCCAACTACGAGCACGTGAAGTAAGCTGCTACAGCTGCATCTCCGTAGACATTCTCCGGCCTTTTTTGTCATCATGCTCTTGTCACCTGCAATGTCGTCGCATGAAGTGCAAGCACGCCCGCACACAAAAAATGGGTTTTTCCTGGGAGCTAGAGGCGATGCTGTCTCGAAAATCGCCGCAGTTGCTGATGCAGGAGAGTAGCTTTGAACTGTGCGGATACTGTCCACTTTTGTTTCACCAGCCTGAGACCGTTCGTGTGCGGGAGCAGGTACGCGAAACAGTGGGTGGAGGCCTATCCTTCCGCTATATCGTATGCGTGCCCCGGGTTGGCGGGGCGGCAGCCGGAAGTCGGTTTCACCAGGGAGGTGGGGGCGAGCATCGAAGACGAAAGCCTACCCGAGTGAGTGCCGACACAACCACGCATGGACGCCGTTTGCACATCGTCTGGTTGATTGGGACTTTGTCGGAATCACCCTCCCGGAGATCTCCCGGCGGGATGTTGACCTAGGCTACCGTAGGTGAGACAAGATACCACACGCCTTGGCGCGATTTCCAAAGCTCGATTCGAAGAGGGTGCATGTGGCACGTTTTCGGAAAGCTCTCGGTGAGACGTTTCCAACCCTGCCATTTTCGGATTCGGTGCCGCCTCTGTTTCTGCTTTGGAGTTGTGAGCTTTGAAAATCGGTCCGGGATGTGTTGTACCTTGTGTCACCGACGGTAGAACGACAAAGCCAGTCATCACTAACGTATCACTAATCGCTGATGACACCTGGTGTCGCCGACCCGCCAGCGTGCATGTATGGCAGCTCCCTACTACACTCACCCATGTTTCGTACTACCCCCTCCCTCGCGGGAGGTTGAGCCTGGTGTGTTCTGTTCGACGCCACGGCCACCCCGTGGGATATAGCTGGGCCTGTAGAGCCGTCGATCACCGCGTCACGGCGTCAGTTGTTGGCGTCGGCGGCAGGATACGCGTCTTTGTGGTGGTGGTCGTCGTCGTCGTCATCGTTGTCAACAGGGGGAGCGGGGGGCGGTGTACTCATAGTCGTGCATGTCGCGGTCGTTGGACCATTGACCTCGCATCCCTACAAAGCCGGGACGGAGCACACCGGGTTCTCACCGGATCGGGCTCTCACATCACCAAGCGCGAAGCGCCGTGAGATATTCGGCGAGTCGCATGAAGGGTGCGCTGCATCGTGCTAAGGGTGTTCGGCATCTTGTGCTTACTTCCTTGCGTACGGATGACAGCTGCGTATGACTGAATTTATTTTTTGGTTATTTCACTTCCAGAGACAGTTGTAAGCACTGTGTAACTGCCTCGAGGGTGCTTGGCCATTTTAACACAACGTGGTGCGATCATCCCCCTTGCGCGGAGTGAGAGTTCTCGACCCCGCCACAACATGATCTACTCGACCCCCATTTTTGGTTACCGCAAACAAAAAAAACAGAGGAAAAAAAAAAAGCGGTAGCCTGGTTGCCGAGCTCACGAAGCGATCGGCTTGTTTCACAACATCGCTGCCAAGCGACGAAAACCCAACCTCGATGGCAAACACCGGGGGGCACTGTCAACAGGGGGGGGCAGAAGCCCTCCTGCAGCGAGTAGCACTGGCTTATCATCACTTCAAACGGAGAGGCGATGCGATTTTTTAATGGCAAAGCCTGCCGTCGGTTGTGTGACACATTTTTTTGTACCAGAAAATATGGTGGGGAAATGTTTTCCGTCTGTGTTGCGACACGTTTGAAAAGGGGCACAGTAGGCGCACACATCACTCGCGATCTTGGCAACACACAGCGCACACAGCACACACAGCACCCAGGACGCAGCACACAGAGAAGGAGGGATGTCTGGGACATGGAAGCAACACATCCTCGCGCCTGCTGCTGCTGCTGCTGCTGCTGCTGCTGCTGCTGCTGCTGCTATACGCGGGACAGCCATAGAAGCGGTAACTTGATCATATCGCCAGACGCAATCCAACGCCAATGGCAGCACGAGAGGCTGGCACACTGACGCAGAGGCACTGTACTATACTCCACTCTAGCAATAGCTGCTGTTGTTGTGTGTGGTGGTGTGCTGCGGACCTACTGGGCGAGACAGACGAATCAGATGAATTACTTATTTTTTCCGTTGGGAATTCACTTACAGCAGCAACAGAGTAGACGGGATCTTCCACTGCACACATCATCACAGGCACGGATTTCAACGCAGCACCACCTTTCTCTACATGTTGGTGCTCGAATCACCGCTGGTGCTGCTGCACGTGACTGCCGCTGGCCTCCTTTGCCTTTGAGACGCTTCACGCTTTGCCCTTGGGACGATAGCGGCGTGCTTGCGTGTGTTGGTACGCCTACGGATATGCACATTACTTGATGTTGACATGCTATAGAAGTGTCACTCTATGCGCTGCAGAACAGCACCGCGAGGGGACAAAAGGGGGCAGTCCTTCACTGAGCAGACAAATCTAGGTGCTCACTCCCGCATCTACTGCGGCAACCCGCTTATTAATGGACGTCGTGATCGCCGACATGTATTTTGGTGTTTTGCGAGAGAAAAGCCTGGGCTTTCTTCTTTCTTTTTTATCTCCTATTTTTCCCAGCCCCGGCCATTCAATAACCGCCACAAATTGGCTAACCTTTTTTTTATTTGGCGCCGCTGCTTTCTGCTGCTGCCTGGCAGGTGGGGGAACGAGATCCTGGCGTGCTTTATGGACTGCGAGGCCAACCCCTTCACGGGCAAGCCTTTTTTCAATGAGGTGGGACGAAGTAGGACCTGTCGTTGTAATGATGACCCTACAGAGTGCCGGCATTTGTATGACCGATTTTGGAGAGGTCATTAATAAAAAAGGAACACGCACACCAAAGAAGTGAATGACCCCAAAACGTTTTTGAGAAAGCGCTCGTCAGCAGCGTTCGAATGAGCGCTCATCGGAAGCTGCTGGTTCGTGTTGTCGAAAAGGTACGGTCGTGTTATTGGGCGCTACGAAAGCTTATAAGACCTATCCCAAGTGCCTGCCGTTGTAAGAACAGAGACGTATCGATTCATTCCTGCCATGCTGTTGTTTGCCCAAAGCAGGAACATGTACAGGGGCCGCCGTACCCTGTTGCGCCCCCACTTCCAACTGCCCCGTGTCTGCCACGTCCGATGATGATTCCGACGGTGGGGTGCTTGTTGCCTCTAAAAAACGGGCCCGCAGTCCAGATATTGTACGTTTAAGTAACAGAGGCTCAATTTCACGAAAAAATCTGATATAGGGCTAAGACCATAGCTCAGCGGTGGACCCTCCCGTTGGTTCTGTACGTGAACTCAGCCAAGGGCTTAAAATGGGGACCAGCTTTTCGGGAGGGCTTGGGAGGCCGAGTTTTAGGGGAGAGGCTAGGCTGATTGAATTTAGAGTATCGCTATCGATCGCTGGGCACTGGAGGGTCACAAAACGAGACAGTGTGCGGACGTGACTCGTATCGTGTTTCATGGCGATTAGATCCACGATGTCAGACATGGACGGTGGGAATTCTTCAGCAGACTGATGGTCCAAAAGTGATGTAATGCCGTGCGGTGCGTTGTGATTGTACGAGCGATTGGGTTGACTGAGTAGATCAATGAAACATGAAGTTCCTGCTGTATACCCGAAACCCGTTTCTCTGGTGCTGTGCTCCGCTGTGCACCGATTTTCAGCGCAACCATCCGCCAGCTAGGTATTCGTCAAACGTGTCGAGCCAGACGGTGCAGCATTACTCTTACACTAGTGCTAGGCCGAGAAGGTCCTCGAGGGCGTTCCAGAACCGTTGAGACTTGGCGGCCATGTGGAGGCGAAGTGGCGGCCAAGTGCTGCACCCAATAATGTGCATTTGTATTCATTCTCCCGCGAGGTACCCGTTTCGGGCATGGGCAATGAAATGCCACTTTGATGCTCTTCGATCACATAGTTCCCTCCGTAGATACCGGAACATGTTCCTCACTATTCAAGCCACGCTAGGGCCTAAACAGAGTCCCACCTCTTGGTTACCAACGACACAAACCCGCGCGCCACCTTACCCTCAGAACATGTACATACACACCCAACAGGAGGTGGTGCTGGGTGCACCTCTGAAATGCACAGCTCAATGAAAACCTACTTTGCCATGGATAGTGCAGGCGTGCCCTACAAGCTTAAAAAAGCAAGGGTATTTTTGAAAATATTGAGAAGAAATCGTACAAAGTGTACAAGTGAGCCTTCACTAAATATATCTTTTGGGTCATCACTGTAAATAGACCGCGTCGAATGGTGGTAGCCTGACACCGTAGCCTCTGAATCCATATTGGTGTTGGACTTTTTTAGTTGGTGGTTTTGCGGCACTTGGAGAGCCCGAAGGTCCGAAGGACACACCGCTTTCGAACGCACCCTTTGTAGGAGATTGCGAAGTTTGAGTGTCTCGCCTCTTGTCTTCGCTCGCCAACACACCACCCGTATTCCGGCCGCCCCGTCCCTGTCGGAAAGTGTGATCGGTGGTCTCCCCTCGAGACCGCCTGTGGTCAATGGTTGGATGACTGAAACGCGAGCAACACATGCGTACACGCTCCCCCTCAAACCTCTCCGTAAGCATGGAAGGCGGGTGAGATGGACTTACTGCAGTAAGCGCGACACGATCTTGTCTTTTTGCGCGCGAGTGTTGGAGGTGTCCCGATTTTTGGAGCGGGAACGTCGCCAAGAATATATTGCGTTGACGTTGCTGACGCAATGACCGCGGGAAGCAGCAATCGGGATCGACCCTCCCTCCGGGCGGTGCCATGCTTGGTTCCACGCAAACCTGTTCCACGAAATAACCGCGCACCTTTCGCTCGTGCTTTGATACACTACGCCTCCGGCCGAAAGGTTACCATTCGCTTCGTGTTCTCCTCTCAAGCAACGAACCAGCGCAAACACACACACAAACACACACGCCTTCTCCAACCGCCATCATCTCGATAGACACATCGGGAACGCGTTGGTTGCAAGGGATGCCTTGCCCCACTACCTCGCCGACCGGCGGAACTCGTGCGAGCATGCACGTTGTTCCCCCTGCTTGGACGGTGTTTTAGCGCCACCCATGACTCTTTTCGTGCGGCCTTGCCAGGTTGTATTCTTCCACCGTCCGACCAAAACTTTGATAACCTCGGACTTGTACTGGAACTACCCCCGGGAAGGGGTGCCTTTCGGCACGAGAGTCTGGAAGTGGGGCATGGACAAGGTGCGAGTTGTTTTTTGTTCCCTTGACTTTTGTTTATTTCCTCATTTGTTCGCTCCTTTTGATTTCAGATTGTTGGCCATGCTGTTGCAGGTCATGTTTTTCTCGTTGTCACTGTCACTGTCGCTGTCGTCGTCGTCGTCGTTGTTGTTGTTGTTTTTGTTGTCTTGCCGTCTCTGCACTATTAGCCTCTTCGGTACGCCTTGTTGTCCCTGAAAGAGTGGACATCTTCAGTCGCATGCCTGTGAAGAATCTCGGGGGACCCGGAGGGAATTGTTCTGCCCTCGCAACTGATGTGTCTGCCATCCCGGCGTCAGTCCTCGGAATCGCCATGAAGCAGGATATGCCTACAAGACCAACTCCTGCCTTGAGCTGGAGGTCGACGCCATCTTATCTGCATCCTCAGCGTTTGCTGGTTCTACTGAACTGCTCTGGGTTTCTACGGCAGATTTGATCAATCACTTCACGGCTAGAGCACCTTTGCCCGTTTCTGCGAGCCCAGCGACTGATCGTCTCTGTCCGTTCGTGCTTGCTCGACGACTGATCATCGATGCATCCAAGGTTTATCTGCCGTTTTACAAGAAGTTCATGGTTACGGACGGTGAAGCTTTCGCCTCAAAAGTTAACCAGATCCTAGACTGGGGGGTCGAGACCATCGTCCCCTGCCACGGGGGTATTGTGCGACGCGGGGCACCCCAGGTGTGCTGCTTGTAACCCCCCCCACCCCCCCCGGAGGTAGACGAGATCGGTGCCACTGCTGCTTGCTTTGTGCGGAGCAGTTGTTTTCTCGAGCCATGGCTGCTGAACCCGGGCCCTACATCTACCGTTGGTGCTTCAGAACGCACGACGGTATTCTTCGGAGTGTGATCAATCCACGAAACACAACTGTTGTTGTTGTGTTACCCCCTCGCCCCCCCCCCCGTGTCGATGGTCTATCCGCTGAGGTATGAAAAGCATGAGTACGCTCCCCCCCCTACAGAGAGATGATTGAGGAAAAAGACGCTAGCTAAGCTGGGGTCTAGGAAGAGGCGGGAAGTGATATCGATAGGATAGGCAAAGCTTGTATGGGCTACCTTCGGCAAAGTAGGAAGGAATGGTTGGCCATCGGTGATCGGTCCTGTGGGAACACCCCTCCGTCCTCTCGAGGACGCGTGGTCAATGATCTAACCGCTACGGCATGCAAAACATGAGTACGCCCCCCTTGTGCGTGCTATGACGATGTTTCTCTCCCCCCCCCCCCCCCCCCCCCCCCCCCCCCCCCCCCCCCCCCCCCC